ATATATATATATATATATGTGTGTGTGTGTGTAATAATTGTTAATTTTACCCATTTTTAATTCAAGAATGTATAAAAATGTATTTTACACATATATCTATACAATTTCTACACATTCCTTAACAATATTGTCCCAGTAAACATGTCAACATGTTTTAGATTTAATCTAAAGTACACCTTTTTAACTAAAATAAATGTTTATCATGCATAAAATATAATGCATTTAAAATATATTCGAGTTTAAAAATGTGTGGAAAAAGTAAACATGACTAAAAGAAAGTGAAGGTAACAAAACGTAAAAAATGCATATGAATAGACCGACACTTGTTCCCGCACTATTGGCAGTTTTTTGGTTATGTCGTCCAGTGGGTGCAAAACGGTGAACGCAGTTAAGTTCAGAGATCCAATGAGAGAACGAATTAATCAAAACTAAATTCTTTTATTGGACATCGTCTGCGCTCTGAACTTTTTAGCTACGTCAATAGAGGTTTGTTCGTTTTCGCTGCACCGCTGCAATAAGTTGAAGCGAGACAAGTATATGTTGTCTCATTTCAACTTATTGCAGCGGCGCAGCGAAAACGAACAGACCTCAAATCATTTTGTTTCCCGCTATACTTTAGTACGCGTGATAGCAAGGTGAACTGGTGTTACAAATTTTGATTTTCTTATGCGCTACATATCAATAAATTGCTTGACATAAGTTTCTATTGAGCTCTATTTTATACATATATTACGATTTTGTGTATAGATGTGATAATTGTGAAATATATGACATTTTAAAAGTTTTATTGTCGTTTTTGGACACGGTACAGTAAAAGCAGCAATTGTAAATAATTTCGGACAACAAAATGAGTTTGTGGGTTGATAAATATCGTCCCACATCACTTTCCAAATTAGATTATCATCTTGAACAAGCAGAGGACTTAAAAAACATGGTAATTATAATATTAATGTGATATACCGAAACACTATCTTGAGAATAAGGTTAACCGGTTTTATAAGCTTTCAAAGTCACAATACTAAACTGTCAGATTAACTGGAATAATCATAATGTTTCATTATTATTTTTATTTAAAACATAGGTTCAAAAACGGGACTTTCCACATTTACTAGTGCATGGACCACCAGGTGCAGGAAAGAAAACCCGAATATTGTGTATTTTAAAAGAACTCTATGGGAATGCAGCTGAGAGATTAAAAATAGAAAACATGCAGTTCGAGGTTTGTCATATCTTAGTTTTATTTTATGATAATAATTGAGAATCTAAGGATTAGACTTTCACGGATAATTACATAAGTCCATAATATATATAGATAATATAAATGAACAATCAGATAATATTATACATAATACGTACTTTTAGACAGCTTCCAAGAAAAAGTTGGAGATACTAACAATAAGTAGTAATTATCATACCGAAGTAAACCCAAGTGATGCAGGAATACATGATAGAATTGTTGTTATGGAGTTAATAAAAGCAACTGCGCAAACACACCACATAGATATAGGTCAAAAAGAATTTAAAGGTATGAAAAGAGATACTATATATAAAATATATTTTTTATCTTTGAATTTCAATATTTCTTGATATCTTACAAATAACTGATAAAGGCTAAACATGAAAATTATGTGGACATTTTTACAATATTAAGTCATTGTATATAATATTTTATAAATTAGTAATTGACTATAAATAATATTATTGATCTATGTAAATAGTGGTACTGCTGTCAAATGTGGATCAACTTACGAGGGACGCACAGCATGCGCTTCGTAGAACAATGGAGAAATACATCAATACATGCAGATTGATTCTTTGTGCTAACTCAACGTCACGAGTTCTACCTGCGATTCGATCGCGATGTGTACGAATCCGAGTCCCTGCGCCAACAGCTTCTGAAATAAAAAATGTCCTACATTCAATTTGTAAACGCGAAGGACTCGCTTTGCCCGACGAATTGGCCGATCGAGTAATCGAGGCTAGTGACAGAAATCTCAGACGAGCAATATTAATGCTTGAAGCTTGCAAAGTTGAGCAGTAAGTAATGATACACGTAAATGCATATTTATAAAATATTATGATAAAATTAAAATCATTACATCTTCATTATCTCCCTTTATGGATTTCCAAATTGTTCTGCTTCCAGATATCCATTCACTGCCAATCAAAAGATATCAGAGCCGGATTGGCAAGTATACATACGTAATACAGCTACTATGATGGTTTCTGAACAATCTCCCAAGGTACTTCTGGAGACGCGCAATAGATTTTACGATTTATTAACGCGTGCCATACCATGTGATCTAATATTCAAAGGATTGTTGCAAGAGTGTGTAAAGAAATGCGATGACCAGTTGAAAAGAGAAATTATCGATATTGCGACCGAATACCAACACAGAATGATACGTGGATCGAAACCTATTTTCCATTTAGAAGCCTTCGCTGCACGATTTATGGCGATCTATAAGAAATATATCGATTCATCTTTAGAAGGTTTCGTGTAAAATCCGTACCTTTTGTGTCATGCTTTTCATACTTTTGATATGTTTTGATATAGTTATGCTGTACAACGGTTGTAATATTTATACCATGATACGATTCTCGATATCTATTTTTGAACATTTTATTCTGAATATTGTAAATAGGAAGAAGTGAAATTCGTACTTGATAATATACAATTTTTGTATTTTAAATGATACAAATTTAATTCAACTTACATGTTTTCCCATTAAAATCCCCCTGCCTCTGATGTTAAAGATGTTTTTTTAAAAATATTCTATTTATAAATGTAATCACTTGATAATCAAATGCTCGTTCAATTTTGAATTGGAATAGATTGTTAATAAAAAGAGTTTAATTTGTGCGATCAAATATGTACGAGTTCTATTATTTTATTCAGTAGTTACAACAGTATTAATAATACAGTATAGGCTTGAAGCGATTTGACAATACAACTAATTTGTAAAGAAAAATTGTCTCCTGACACATGAATAATACTCTTACATTGCTGCAAGTACAAGCGCAGAAATAATTGACAATGCAGATACTGTGTATCCAGTGCTATATACTTCTTTGATTGAAAGAAACATCCCCATATCCCAAGCCTGTAAATTTATAAAAATATAAAAATCAGTTTTTTCTTCACAATGAAAATAAATTATGATTTAATAAATTATTTATGTTTTTCGTTTGAATTATTTCCAATTATATTTATTAGGATAATATAAAAAATCTTATACCAAATGACGTATTCCATTGAATAAATGATAGGTAGCAGGCAGGGCTAAACATGTCTTGCCAGCGAACAATACGGGAGAAGATAAACATAGGCTCTCCATTATTTCTATAAAACAGGGGATACCACCTGGTATAAACAATGTACCTGAAATGAGATGACGTAGCTATCAAAATATTTTATTATACATTTTTTCATGAAAGACACATATGTATTAATTTATTCTAATAAAAGAAGATTGTCGATCTGACTAGTTTATTTAACAATTGTTAAGTAATATTTTGTATCTCACCTAAACCAAGGAACATTGCATAAGAAGATAATATTATGCCAGTAGTCCGATGTGTTATTGAAAGTAGAGCTGTCAACTGGATTTCATAGATTGACAAATGCGGTGACATTGGTCTCTTTAGACGCATATTCTTCTCATCATGAGATTCACATGTTATACGTGAAGGATTTGATATTGTTATGCAGAGAGGGCTAAAAAAAGCCACCTTCTGTTACAGTTTGAGTTATAAAGACACGACAGAATGAAAATATTCTCACACAAAAACTTCTGTATAAACAATACTACGATTAATATTTATAGGTTTGGAATATAATTATACCCTTTGTGTTTATTATTATTATTTAGTAGAATAATTTAATATGACATAAAAATGACCAAAAAATCATTACTCTTAATTTGACAATTACATAAAATTGAGGTTACGTATTATATAATAGTTTACCTGGATGTGTATAGGGCCCGAAAATGTCGAAAATCAACATTGCGTCGGCACAGAAGTCTGAAAAATGTAAAAACGTCTTCGTTGTTTCATTAAATAGTAAATAAAATCGCGATAAAAATTACATTTGCTAACGTACCTTGTATAAAGTAGCGCCATTTTTGCAATATAAATACCCTGTATTTTCGACAGATGATAAGCAAATATTACAGGTGCGCTTTGAAAAGAGGAAAGATATTTTTAAATCGCAGCACCGAATGTAGGATATTCAACAGGGTTACGATAGTAACGAATTCTTATTAAATATGTGCCATAAACAATCTCTACTAATAAATGAACAGCGACGCGGCAGTGCGAATTCGAAAAAGGTCGCTCTGTATTTTAACTCTCTGAAGATGATTTTTGCGCATAAATTATCGCCACATATAGAACACGATATATTATCCCGCACGTTTATTAGCAATATAAAGCAAAATATGTTTGAATACTTCCTGAAAATATAAATGTAACGGGCTTGCGATGGGGATGCCGAGTGAAGTATCGCACATATCGAAGCGATCGATTCTTGAAAATTTCGATAATCGACCTACGAGATTCCCAACTGCTATGATATTCGGTCTGTTACGCGGACCGGAGTTATGACGCGCGCGGTAAGTCGCTCCTCCGTATTTCTCGTAATTTTGGCTCTTCGAAGATGAGCTTCGCATAAGTATTATCGTCGAGAGCGCCGCAAATAAATTTCGCGCGTTTGTCGCGATAAAATATCGTTTTGAATAACTGTCGGAAGTGAATATCTCGTCAAACGAACCGCCGAGAGAATGCCAAACCAAACATCGCGTGTTCGCTGAATTCATTCGAAGTATTCTAATCCCCACGACTTACGCTTTAGATTCTGTCAAAAGAGTCTCGTGTGGGTGTTATAGTCGAGAGTGCCGAACACGAGTTTCTCCTTCATTCACTGCAGTCTCCTTTTTTAATCTACTTCGTACGCGGATTATCATCGGAAGCGACACAGGTTAGTACAGAGTACTTCATCGATAGGATTAAGAGATGTCGCCACGTTGTCGTCCAAGTGGTTCTATTTCAAAGTCTCTCGATCTCCTGAGAATTGTAAGGAATAAATTTCAGCTTCTGTCATAATACATCGTCTGCAAAAATTACTTATACTTTTAGAAATGATAATTTTTTTTTCTTTCTTATCAATGCTGTATATTTGAACTGTCTATGGAATATATTGGCGGAGATTCGTGAAATGTCTGTGAAAGAAAAAAAATGTGAGAATAGATGAGTTTTTTAAATTACAGTTCATGAAAAGAATCAATCTTGCAATGATATTGTTTTACACTAATTTATACCATGATATTATTATTAATATACAACAATATTATTATAGTGTATCTCTGATTCAAGTATTATATCCGAAATTGAGACGTCTCAAAGATATCTTTGAGACGTCTTAAAAATATCACTGATTTTGGACATTACGCTGTCTGGATAATTTATTATAATGATCATTAATTTAAAATTATTCGTCAAAAATTAAATTTTATATATATACAACTGCACGTGGAGAGAGATAAATACATGAATATGATATTCTATCATTGATTGTTTTTGAAAACAGTTCTTGGAAACAGTTTGTTTTCTACTGATAAGGGTTTCGCAATGTTATAGAGCAATATGTTTATTATCGCGTCGTCACTCTCCGTGTTAATGTCTTCGGACAACGAGATAAAGTCTCGAACTATCGGACTGTTAAAAAGAACAGAAACAGCGCGCGTTCGTCGCTGCACTTAAAAAGGAAATAGATACAATTCGAGTGCAGTTAGAAGACGTCCGTAACAACCCCTGCGAAATACCCCCTTTGGCGCAGCCGCGCATACAGCGCCGCCGTGCGGATTACGCCGCTACTAATTTCACTATCGACGAAGTAGTGGGGAATAAGCTGTAGCAAGAGAGCGTGCGTCTACGTCAGGAAAAGCTCCGAGCTTATTGGTCCCGGTCCATTGTTGCGTATTGATTGCTGCGGAGCAGTGGTATGGTCGTCGGGACACTCGGTCGTCCTCGTCGTCGCCGTCGTCGGTGGTGTACACAGCCGAGATTAGGTTAAGAGGAGCGGGCGCGCGTCACAGATAGAAGAAAAACAGAAATCAAATAGTCGTCGTGCATTCGTTCGCGCGTTTATCACGGTACATCCGCACATACATGTACGCACATACATCGCAGAGAGGAAAATTTAAAATAAGAACAGAGAAGAGAGAGTATAAGTATATATAAATAAATATATACACACGTACGCGGAAGGACAAACGGAAATATCCGTCGCGTAGCAGTGTACGCGCGCGCGCGCGTGCGTGTGTATGTCCGTGTGTGTGTGTGTGTGTGACACGCTGTGGTGGTATTAGTGGTTTCTTGTTTTTTCCTGTCTTTCGCTCGCGGTGTCTCCCTGCGGCATCAGCAGTTGCCGCCGAGCGTGGTGACACCGCACTGTGAATCCTCGCCAACCAGCCCCGCGGCTGGAAACGTACGTCCGCGAGGGTTGCCCTTGGATTGATAGAAAGCGAACGAGTAGACCGTGAGAGGGTGAAAGAGAGGGAGAGAAAGGAAGAGTGTGTGTGAGAGAGAGAGAGAGAGAGTGTGTGTGGAAGGGAGAGGAGGACAGACTCTTGCGACGCCAGCGGGTGTGCGTGGAGCGGGAGCGGAGAGGAGAAAGAGAGCGGAAAAGAGATCGACGGCGGATTCCTCTAGCGCGCAAAAGCTGACGGAAGCTCGTGGTACCGGGGTCCTCGAGGATAGGAAAGCGCGAGGCGGCGCGAAATTATGAAGCGCATAAAGTGCGCCCTTCTGGCCGCCGCCGCAGCTGCCGCCGATAGTGATAGCCGCCGGTGAATGTGTGACCCGGGGGCAGCAGAGATCCGCCGGGATGACGACCGAAGAGACGACCGAGCAGCCCCCGGTAGACGACTGCCTCAAGGAGCGGAAATGGTGGTGCTTCCTGCTGTCGAGCATCTTCACCTTCCTCGCCGGGCTGCTGATCGTGCTCCTCTGGCGTGCGTTCGCCTTCCTCTGCTGTCGCAAGGAGCCCGAGCTATCCCCAAATGACCCGAAGCAGAAGGAGCAGAAGACGGCCCGCCAGGGCAAGGAGTTCGAGGGGACTTTTATGACCGAGGCCAAGGACTGGGCCGGCGAGCTGATTTCCGGGCAGACCACCACTGGACGTATTCTGGTAAGCGTTATCGTGCAGTGTCGCCGTACAATACGCGTCGTTTAATATTTACAGCGTTTTACACGAGATTATCGATTTTAAAGGCAAACCGATTCTACACCATTCCGCAGGCTGACCTATATTGTTATACGAATTTTTCAGTCTGCTGAAAAAAAAAAAACTGAGTTGATGGTGCGATAGGTTTGAAGAAAGTAACAATTTATCGGTGGACAATTTATTGTCGAAAAATATTATCTTCTTCGGCTATTCTTTCATTCCATTCGTATTTTTCACTTTACTTGGTTTAGCTTTTATCGATTTTTAACTGCACTACATTTTATAATAACGCGGTAATACTTACATAAAATTCTCGACCTCAATATGTTTTATATCGTGATTTCACGGAGAGATTAATTAAATTTACCTGGCGAGATATTATAACACGCGTTCGTTTCGAACATATTGAGAAATATGTCGGTACTATTTGTTTACGTCTTAATCGGCAACAACATCGATGAAGAACAAGCTCCTCGACTCTTCTATTGATAAATATGAGAATGATCTTTACAATATGAAGATCTTATAGGGAATAATATATATAAATCATTTCGAGTTTACAACGAGCCGGAAATGCTATTATAGCAGCGAGGGAAATATTTCGATCATAAAGATTTTCCAACTCACCGCGAAATTAAGGTTCGCCCGACTTGATATCGAGCTTGATAAAAGTTCTTCGGTACTATTAATTGAATTTCCTGAAAATCAAACGCGATTCGGCTAAATAGGTCGAAGAAGGTAGGAAAGCGATTTCAAAGGAAATCCAATAAGAGCGCCGATTAAAACTGCAGATTCGTGCGAGACGCCATTACCGAAAAGTTCGATCGTTGGACGACGACGAAAAAGATCACTCGTCAACGACCTTCCTCTCTCTCCCTCGTTCGTGGATATGCCTCTGTGGCGAAGCGTAAGCTCGGCCACTTACACGTGTACGCGCCCGCGCACACGAGATTCCTAGCCCCGAGAGTCGCGTACGTGACCGGTGACCTAGTTTTCGTTCGTGGAACCAGACGCGGCGTCGGCCCCGATGTAGAGAGGGGTGCTTTCTACGCAGTGCGTGTTCTCCACCCCCGGAGATACGCGTGTTTTTCGTCGATCTCTCTGTCCTTTCGCGATTTACCCCCTCCGGGAAGCTCGCGTTCGCTCTTGCGAATCCCCGCCATCTTTTTCTCACACCCCAGGAGAATACTACATGGCGTTAAGTCGGGCGAGAAGGTTGCGCCCAACTTACGAATAGCTTTATTCAAATTTTATAGCGAGCCCCGCGGTAGATTTACGCGCACGTCGTTCCCTTCGTCGTTCCGATCGTCGCGCTTGTTCCGCATTTTTCAATGACGCGAGGATATGCCGCCCTTGCGGGTTCGACCCGGTCGGACGACACCATGCGAATCACAAGGTTCGACGGCTAACAATTACAATCTGACCGCGGATCCCTCAGCCAATCGATGATGAGGTTTATCGAAAGTCCGCGAAACTACTCTTTAATAATCTCTGTTGCTTGTCCGGGCTACTCGCGATTGTAATCTGAATCGCCGATACATCGTTAATCCGAAAGTCGATTCCCCTTTCGATATCGGCTTGTAATCTGTCGGCCTTAATCGCTCTTAACGCTACGATTTTTTTGCCGAAGCGGACGTTAAAATCTTTTCACCGATTGATTAATTTTTCATCATGTTGTAAATAGAGGAAATTTCTCTAAGAAAACCGTACAAAGAAACCGTACGAAGAAACCGTTGTAAAAAATCTAATTATCCCGAGTCGAAATTCTAGATTAGCTCTGCAGATTCCGTGAAATTTAAAGCCAATGAGAGAACATATATTTTATGTACAGTTGAATAGGATTTATATATCAAAATTAAAAAGAAAGATCAAATATATCTTTCCCTCTTTCCAAATTTATGGCACTTACTTTTTCAACACCCTGTAGAATAACTAAGTAAACATTGCATCTAGAATTATTATAATTCATTGGGGATACATGGAGCAAATATAAGACCAGTCAGACAGTCAAATCTGTGGAAGCAGATTTTGCGTAATATTTGCTGTAAATTTTGACAGCTTGCTAGCAGAAATATAGTAGAATTTATTAGCAGAGCATGATATAACAATCTGTTAGGTTGGTCAACGGATTAATCTGTTATCATACTCTGCTAGTAAATCCTGTTATATTTCTACCAGCTGTTGACAAAATTTATAGCTGATACTGCGCAAAATCTACTTTCGTAGGGTTTTGGTTGTCTGTCTGGCTTTATATTGAACAACATGAATTGCCTCATGAATGCTAATATAACCAATATTATAATTAACATATCGCCAATAAATTGTGTTGTTATTAGGGTAGATTAAGTCATCGCGTGTCCCCAATCTGGCGTGGATCTTGTCTACCCAAGTAGTTTTTTAAATTTTTGTTTTATTTTTGTAAGTAAATAAATTTTTGTTTATTAACCTTGTAATTATCTTCTTAAAGCAATCAATTTTTCATTCCATTATGGAGTTTCAATCTACAAAACTTAACAACTTGAACAATATTTGTGAAAAAAAGAATTCATTACACCAAAAAATAAATCACACACACATCATTACATAAATCCTTACTTGATTATTTTCGACGCTCAACTGTTTCAAAATGACATTTAACACTTCCTACGGTTAAAAATGAAAACTGCTGTTAGCATGAAAAACATTTAATTTTTCCGCTGTCAGGGATCAAGTTACAGTAAGTAATAATTTAAACAGCATCAAAAGACAATAGCTTGTAAAGTGTATTGTATTGCGAGATTCTTTATTGCTCGAACGAAACATGCATCTTTCTTCAGTAACTTTTCACATTCGCGAATATATCTAATTTTAGGCAGAATAACGATTCTCTTTGAGTAAACGTTTGCTCTCGCGGCAGTTATCGCGGCAGTCCGATGATCAATTAGTAACAGGCGCCTGTCTGACGGCGCGCTGACCGTTACCACTTTACGACAAGGCCTAAATAGCGTGTAGATTCCGTTGAAGTTTCTCGCTGGCTAGCGGGCCTATTCTGTAACATTTTACATTATGAAGCCTCCGCTAATGAAGTTTGTTTCACAGCTCTGGAAGTTTGCGTTACGCCGCAGCGATAATGTCATAAAGACGATCCGTTATAGCTTATCTGACGTCAAATTTGCAAAAAAATGTTATCTTCCCAACGTTTGCGACGTTTGTCGCGATCGCATTTGTTATTTTCGATTCGCGATCTCTAATTTTTATTCGCAAGCCGGCGCGAACCGACTGAGTGCAAAATAAGCAGCGCAATGAAAAAAAACGCGCGCAATGAAAAGCTATAAAGCTGCTCCGTGAAATAGGCCAAGCGGTTTGTAGATTTAAAACGTTAAAAAGCTATATTTCTTTATGCAGTCAGTGAAATTTGTTATTTTTGCTAAACAGCGCTCGCAAACGGTTAAATAAAGTCACGAAGATTAAATCGTGACGGATGAATATTTTCGATTGTAACATTATTCTTTGTTTTGAGAGATGGTTATATTCGGATATTCTCCTATCATCTTCAAATTGATATTAAAATAATATTTCCAATCGACATGACGCTAGCTACTGAAAAATAGCTGCAATCTCTACAAATAAAACACTGATGCGATATTTTTTATTCGGCAATAGAATTGTGTTGTGAATATCGGAATACGATGTAAATTTTGCACCGTGTACACACATTCTCGCAAATCACTTTTGGTATGATTTTTGACAGCTGATTCGCGCCATTGAAACTAAACTTGTATCGTGACCTCGCATGGGACTAGAGTTTTATTTCAGCAGCCGCAAGGAATTACGGAGAGATGTAGGATACAATTTATGAAACATTACAGCGTCTAGACGGAGCAGCGAATGTTATTCCGACATTATTTTTCTGTTGATTTATCTTAATTTCGCGGAGTTTGAGAAAATTGCGGCAGCTAATATTTTCCAGAATTTCATAATATCGATACAAGCAAGCGTTGTCTGTACAATTTATTCCGATAGTTAAACTTCCTTGTCACAAGTTAGACTCAGGAAGCGCCTCGATAACAAGAACGTTTGACAAGTTGGTTTGTTAACGAGCTTCTTGCGTAAACAAACGATCATTTTCACTCGATTCGAGTTTTCTCGCGCGATACCGACAAATCGTACTTGACAAATCAACTCGCGGTTTGTCGCGGTGAAACACGATACGTCGGAACTGCCGCGAATATTTAAGCTGTCCCTCGATTGCCAACTTTTTTCCGTTTGACACCGCGAACTTTTCTAATCGGACTTTCCTCGATAGTTCGCGCAAAGAGACATATAGCGGCAGAAATTTATAGTGGAATTTATATTACCGGCACGGGATGCTCTCTACACGTGTTCGCGGAAAAATCGACCGTACCACCAGGTAGCAGGCAGAGCAATATGAATTATGTATCTGTGACTCGTTTACATGGTCGTGTTGTTTTTACGTTGGAAGTTAATTCGACGTTTTATTCCAGTTTAGGCGCTTTATTAGATTGCCCGTACGCAAGAGTACTTAATTCTCCGTTATTACTTTCGCTTCGTTTAAATTTATTAATTGTCACAACGCACTGTTTCTTCGGCTTCTTTGTATATGATGTTTTTGAGATTCGCATGAATAGATGGCAAAATTCGTCTTTCGTATGCATTCCCGGCGACATGTCTCAACAAGACGTCGCGTGTGGCGCAATATTAGGAATTCTCGATTGAGAAGGGATAACAATCCGTCAGGGATTCATTCCCATCATATAATTCGGCAAATCTATTTCTTGTTTCGTAATGTGATTGTTGAAATCCCCCACGGCAGTTACAACCCGGATAGAATTGCATGGACGAGACGGGACATAAATTCAAAATTTCCCCGCAATGGTATGTAGTACGTACGTGCATCTCCGCCGCGTTTCGTTGCCCACGCGCATGATATATCGAACGGTGAAGATATTCGATGTTAAAATGCA